CCTCTCTCTCTCTCTCTCCCTCTCTCTCTCTCTCTCCAAGGGACAATTGAAACATCTTTCGTACTACTGTCGACGAGTTCACGGTTCAATAATTTTGTAGTGCAGTGGAAGCGTATTGAAGCGCGTACGCTTCCCGAACAGTACAGTGTTATTGACGTGTAAGCGTCCCTAACACCAGCCTAACTAATACACACAGGAAACCCAAGTTCAATTCCCAAGGGGGAGAATTATTATTGAGCAACTCAGTCTTCCTGCTGGGACATTGTACCCTTCTCAACCCCAATTGGCCCAGACAGGCAGGATCAAAGCCTGCTTCCTAAATGATCTAAACTGTGTCAATGTGGGGGTAAAAAAAAAAAAGAATAAATAAAATGATTAACAGTGAGATAAGCCACCCAGGTCTCACCTGTCGTCACAGTTTCCTCCACAAAGCACCGTCAGGTTAGGAGAGGATTTGGCATAATCCAAATAGCCTTTGATTCTGGAAAAAGCCTGAAAAGAGGAAACTAGCTCCAGTTAGACCAAAACAAAATAGTTTGCAAGATAATACACTCTGACCAAAGTTAAACCACTTACAAATAAAGCAACAATAGCTAACTAATTGAAGGTGACTGAAAAAATCCATCAGTCACTCTCAGTTGAGAAAAGTGATGAACATGAACAAAGTAATTGCAAATACCTAAAAACTGGATGACAACAATAAACAGTATATTATATCAATACTCATATTTATACTGGCTATGGTGGCATCAGTTTGTGGGTAAGAATTAATTTCGAATTTTTCCCAGACAGAAGACCGAAAAACCTATTTTTTAGATTTTAGAACTGCCAATGGATGACAGGACCTCCAAATGTTTCATCCTTATTCAAGAGGACTAAGTGCTCACTCACATCTACCCTTGAATCAGTGGAAGTAGGAAACTTGAGAAAAAAAATCCCCACACTGTTGGGGATTGAACACCATACTTTTGAGCTACTGAGCCCCCTTGCAAACAGTAGCTTCTACCATTTTCTCTGTTCACCTTAATTGTCAATAACAACAGCTGAACAAACTACTTATTCTGTATTTTCACTTTTACGATAAATCAATGATAACAGTCGCAACCCAGATCAAGTCCAGAAATAGATTTAGTTTTAGTTCTGTGACTGTACAGATTGCTTTGAAATCCTCTTACATTATGTCTTAATATGATTCAAGTTTAAGGACCAAAAATTACAAAATAAGATGTTGCCACACGAGATGTAAATTCATGTTCTGTTTCGCTTGACACCTGTACACTGTTTGCTTTTAACGTTGTAATTTCGGTCAAGATGGTATGAGATTTGCCCATTCGATTTCTGTTAAGTCCAGACATGCCAGTGGTGGGATTTTGTGAAAGTAACTGAATATTTACAAAATTGCATTCATAAACAAAAGACAATATATACATTTAAAACGGTTGATCAGAAAACAAATGTTGAGAATATTAACTGCTCTTTAAACTTTCTTTCAGTAAAAACAAGGGTGGGGGGGGGGGGGGGGGGGGGGGACCAGAAAGCAGCAGATTTATTTGTCACAAAGCCCTCCATTTGCAAAGAGCTCTTTTGTCTCTATAGTCACCTTATCATCAATGACGGCCGTGACAAAGCTGTCCTGCTCCAACGGCGAGCCCATCTTGACCTGCTGCATGATCTCCAGCATTTTGGCCTTGACCTTTGGCCACAAAGACTGTGGGATATACATCCTAGAGCAGGCCGAGCACTTCTGGCCGTTGAACTCGAACGCTGAGCGGACTGTGGCGTTCGCAACAGACTCCCAGTCAGCAGAGGGATGAATAAAGTGCATGTTCTTACCCCCGCATTCTGGAGAGGACAAGCAAAACTACAAATTTAAGGATCAGAATGTCAGGCTCTTTAAGAGGTTTTTCATTCAGTTTAGGTTTCCATTAACACCTTACAAGGCACATACAGGGATTATTTTGAAGATAAAATCCTATATATTTCAGAGAAGAGAAATACATTGATAAAATTAATGGGGTCATTTGGTGCCACGAAAAAGCAAGACAGACAAGCAGAGAGAGAAACAACAAAGGGAAAGAAAAGAAACAGTCACCATCCACAACCACACACCATCACAAAGAACAACAGATCAGCAGATACAGAATTGAAAACTACGACAACCACAAAACAGAAACAGAAACACACTTGTAAAACAATCTGGCCATTTAGTGTCAGGAAAACAAGGATAGACAAGAAGAGAGAGAAACAACGGAGGAAAAGAAAAGACAAAGGACCTACCACTGTTGCCCTCCACTATCCACTACTAGACGGCATTATATAAAAGAACAACAGTTCAGCAGCTACTGACTTGAAAACTACTACAACAACAACATTCCAAAAATCTTGGTCCTTGGCCTGTTGTCGACCAGAACAAATCAGTAGAAGACACAAAGTTCTCATCAGGCTAATCAAACCAGCCATCAATATCACCAGTGACATTCCAGAAGCATGCAAGTTTGTTGTATTTTTAATTATGAAGAAATTAAAGAAATATAGAATGCCCAAATCTGAACCATGACTTAGGCACTCGTTATTTTTCTATCATTAACTAGGAAGAAAACCGCTGGACAGAATGAAACTGTATTGTTAGATGCCCTTTGATGTCTTTTTTTATCCGGCAACCCTCAGAATTTGATTTCATTGATTGTCAAATGAAATTTACTGTTCATTAAAAAAAAAAAAATTACTCAGTTCAGGACACATTGTTAACATGTTAACTCAATACAGATACATTTTTTTGAGCTGGAAAATGTTCTACTTGACTCCACTCACCACCAATTATACGTGGGTAGTTCTTGTAGATATCCAAATTTTCTGCAATTTGCTTCCATAATTTCTTGAAGGTCCTGAGAAAGAAATTTTAAGGATAATATTTTGATGTCTGAAATCAAGACATTGTGAATAGATGATATGATTTCAAATGTTAACCACTCAAAGACAAGAAATAAAACATAACATGAACATTTCATTGATATTATGCATCTGTTTATGTAGTAAATTTCTACAAAATTTTACTTCAGTTTTCAACTGTAATTCAGAACGACTAAATGTGTACTTTTACGGCACTCGCAACTGCATAAGGTCATATGAGCGCTAAGGGGCGGACGTCAACAGAGAAGTCCAAATGGGATATCAGGTTTACTCTGCTCACCACTCTTGTCTCAACAGCCCAAAGTCTGCTTCGACTATAAAGGCACTCCAGAAATAGCAGTTCACAAGAGAGTGACAAACATACAAAATTAGTAGAAGGAAATGACGATAGTAAGGATGAGGAAAGAAAAAGCAGCAGTTCACCCTATGTTGTTCTGGAACAGTATGAGCATGACATTGATAAATCAGCCCATTTACAATTCTACTGTGTAAAAGAACATGTTAATATCCCCCTTCTGGGGATGGTCTAAAGACACTTCAGTTAGTAGCACTGCCCTGGGGGGTATCACAGTCTTCAATTCCACGGTTGAAAAGTGAAACAAACTGAAAAATATTTCACAATTCTAGACAGAGTAGGGAACTGACACTTGACACAGGAGAAGCACAAAAGTTGTGATCGTTTAACTCATTTATGACTACAGCTATCCCCCCCTTCTCACAAGAATTCACAGGAATCAACTGTCGAAGCGTTAAAAATTTAACCACTACTTTTTTTAAAAGCTTCTGTACAGTAAAAAGGCCAAATCAAAACTTAAACAAGTGAAGTAAAGGTAGTGTCAGCCACATTCTTTTATCTACTTTGCACGCAGAGAAGTTAGTTTTTGAGAGTATCGTTTTATATAATACCTTTCCAAGCAGCTTGTCACTTTGTTCCAGTTACAGCCACAAAGTCCACCAACAATGGGTTGAAATATCCAACAAGCCAAACTCTGGCAGTATTTTAATTTCTGTGTGCACACACTAGCACAAGTACACTAACAGACGTTTCCCCAGGCACTCACCCTACGCTGCCAGTAAAGTTCAGGCCCACAAAGTCTGGGGAACTGAGCACAGTGTCACCAAAAACGGGGCCGTCGGCAGGAAGGAAGTTGATGACGCCAGGAGGAAGACCGGCCTCACGATAGATCTTGAAAGCTATGTAGTTGGACAGGACAGCCGTGTCTGAGGGTTTCCACAGCGCCACATTGCCCTGAGGGAAGGAAAAATACAGACATTTAAGACTTTACTTGTAGCCCAATTCTGAAGATGGTTTTGCCTCCCAATAATTTGTCATTTTTTTCAGGCTGCTCTGATTGTGACCCTTTTTTCGCCTGTTCCTTTCCCAAACAAGCTGTAGAGAGATGTTATCCACTGTATAACAACAGTGCAGTTTTTGCAGAACTTTGTGTAGGTACAGCACAGACAAAAATCCTTTGTAAGCAGCAAAGATGGATAGGCCACACTTTACGCACATCCGCAACGAGAACCACAGGTCAAGACTTAACCAGAAACCCACAAGGGAAAAGAAAAGGAGAAATTCCATTCCTAAATGGGGAATTTCATTTAATATGAAAATCTTGGTCTTTCTCCTGGGATTTTTTGTAACCCCATCATGACCAACCATGAAGAGACAAAAAGAAAAATAATTGTAATTTACTTTCATTGTCAACAGCCATTTTAAAAAAAAATAGTGAACTAGTTTTCACTTACCATCATAGCAGGCGCCATAGGAAGGTGACCCCCAATGGCCGTGAAGTTGAAGGGACAGACGGCAGCCCAGAACCCCTGAGAAACAAAGGAAACAAACATGTCAGCTACGATACAGTACACTAAGAAAGCTGCAAGAGGCTGGATCATTTGAGAAAAGATAGCAGTTAAGCTGTATTTACAGTCTTAACACACGAAACATACGGCAAACATTTTAGGCGAACCTTTCTTCAAATTTAGTTATTCAAGCTGAAAGAGGCTGGATCATTTGTAAAAACACCAAACATGTATTTAGAGCCTCAGCATAAGAAATATACATTGGACATTTTGGGTGACCATTTCTTCAACTTGAATTATCCAGTGTGAGTGTCCTTGGGTACCACATGGCAACCCTCATCATTAAAAAAAAATATAAAAAATGGAGCTTTGTACAGTGACAACCTGCAGTGACACAATGATTGTATTGATGTGATAATATAGCAGAGGAAGGCAGACAGGTACGTACATATGTTAGTACAGCATATCAAACAAAATTTCCCCATGGGAATCAATAAAGGATTGATTTTATATCATACGTCACCTCAAGTCCACGATACGACATCGAGTTCTTTGTGACTTCTGGGGACGTACTCAATGGTTGGTACTCTGTTGTGCGCTGAGGGGGGAAAAAAATTTTTTGATTAAAGTTTTGAAAGAGCTCTTAGACCACATCAGCCACTACACTCAGCAAATGGATCTCACCAGATTTTTTAAAATAACTTCAGAACAATTCATCTTAAATGAAGTTTAAGGTAGTATAACAGACACAATGATTGCCAAGTCAGGTCACTTCATCACCGTTTGTTTTAGTATGTGCTTTATAGCACTTGTTTAGTTTAGTTTAGTAAGAGTTTTACGACACTCGTAACATTTATGGCACTTGCAACACAATGAGGTCATATATGTGACAAAAATTAGATGTTACAAGAGAGAAACAAACACAAAAAAGAAGGAGGAGAGATGAGGATGATAAATGTTTGATAGGAGAGAAGGAGCAACCCACACCAGAGCACCTGCCAACTGGACGAACACAAGAAAGAAAGGAAAAATATTCCGACAAGAGCGAGAATCAAGAGTCCACTAAGAACATTCCAGAAAGAAGAGTTAAAAGAAAAAACTTTGCACACACAAGCATCCTTGGTGTAATGCCTAGGTTCTTCTCCATTGAAAGCAAAAGATGGGAGGTCGATACCCAAGTTGGGAAGACCTTCTCATCATTGAGTATTTCCATCAGCTTGCTGGGATGTTATATCCCATTCAGCCCTGATTGGTTCTGACTTGTAGGGTCAAAGCAGCCCATTCCTTCAATTATCTCAATTTTGTCGATGAGGCCATAAATGTACATTTACAATCCTTACAGTCATAGAACACAAGGAAAAAGGAAAAAAGAAAAAACATTCCAGAGAGGCTGATATTTTCTGAGCCTCCACAGGTCTAACCGTGGACTACTCAAAAAAGAAAGGTGAAGCTAAAAATAAATATCTTTATATAAAATTTGCATCAGCTTCAGCAACTCTGACAACTGACATTATGCACTTTTAAGCATCTCTCACCTGGGCAAACTGAACGTCAAACCGCAGAAAATCAATTAGCTCCGCTGTAGCGTCAATTTCTGCTTGCCACACATTTTTGGCCTGAAACATATGGACAAAATGAAGTGTGTTGAAATGTCATCCAACAGAAGCCTGTTATCTACAAAACTTTCTGGTTTCTTTACAGCACCTGCAACACAGTTATGTCATAAAGGTGCCAAAGATTACAGGTGTTTCTACAGAGCAACATACAAAGAAAAGAATAATAATAAAGATCATTTCTATAGCGCTCACTCCTGTGTAATCACAGCTCTAGGCCCTTCACATAAATGCATCATGTATGAACAATATTCAGGCACGCATGCACACGCAGTCACACACAAACACACACTCACTCACACACACACACAAACACTCACACACACATTACACGCACACATGTGCACACACATGCATGCCAAACACACGCGCGCGCACACACACATACTTGCTTATCATGTGTGCACGCTTACACATCGTTACGAAATGAGCACATACAAATACATAATAAAATAATAAACACAATGCAATTCGCAAAATACATAAATGGATACATAGTCATTTACATAACACTGCACCAAACATGAATCTACGGAAGGAGAGATAAGGATGACAGATGTTTGTTTGGAAAGAAGGTGCAAACAACATCAGAGCACCCAATCCCATAATTTCTGTTTCTTCTGGTAACTCCCCATTCCCCCCCTATATTACTCCTCAAATGAAAACCAACCTGTCTCAGCATAAAGTGGCTATGAGGTCAAAACAACTTGACATCCCCCATCCCACAACTGTCCCCATTTCTCTCAGTGTACTGTGAAATGATTAACAACACAATAAACAACAATGTCATTTACGCAGGTCTCAAATGCAAGAACATGATGGGGAACCATGACCGCCAATGTCTGCCTGACATGACACTAGATGAGGATGACTGTGTAGCAGTGTGCTCATAACATCAACCTGCTTTAAGTCCGATCATCTCTCTCCCTCCCTCCCTCCCTCCCTCCCTCTCACCCAGCCACCCCCCTCCCCTCCCAATAAAACCTACCTGTCCCAACATGGTGGTGGCTATAAGGTCCATGCGGTACTGCTTGGACATAAGGTCGGCTGCCCTCAGAAATACATCACACCTCTCCTGTAGGGGCCTCTTTTCCCAGTCTGCCCGCGCCTTGAGGCCCACATCAATGGCCTTCTTGATGATGTCCTAAAAGAAAAAAAAAAATAATGTAGCAGTTTTTACACCAACACTGAGATAATTTAGATCATTCAAATTCAACAGGCCAGCTTCACCCCTGTCAGTCAGGGCTAACCCGGGCTGAGAGGGATACATCGTCCGTGATACATGATAAAAAATCTCCGCACGTGGGTATCAAACTCCGGGATACAGCATGCCACAGCAAAATGTCTAACTACTACACAATATGATGATGTCCTGATAAGGGGGGGGGAGAGAGAGAGAGAGAGAGAGAGAGAGAGATAGAGAGAGGGAGAGAGGGGGGGGGGGGGGGGGAGCAAAAAGCAAACAAGGCTCAATATTTGTTTTATATTTTTTTGTCTGTATACCTAAAACGAAATACATCAACACAATGCAGGTCAATAAACGCTTGGAAAAAAGCAAGACTGAGTGACAGAAACAACAGAGAGCGAATAGGGGTTCTTCTCGTTTAGAGGTACCGTGTTTGCCTCTCAGTGAAAGGGTCCTGGCATCAAAATCTGCCAGCGCAAAGAAAAAATGTGTCCCCTTGTGCTCCTTTCCTGTTCTCTAGTCCTATTCTGTCATCTGCTTCCATCACCACTTTCTCCTCCCTCAACCCAAGCTTCTTTGAGATCCTCTTTCCGTTACACCTAACTCTTTCCACTCCTACTCCTGGCTGCTTCTTGCAGCTAACTTTCAGCCACATCCTTGATCTAGCCTTCTCAGAAAAAGGCAAAAAATGTCAGTGGTCTCGTGTGCAAGCTGCCAACATTAAAGATCCCTTGGCCGTCCTAAAATTGATAGGAGTAGGCTTCCAACACTACCCAGGCAAAATTCAAAATTGAAAACACTAGTTGGTAAAAAAACAAAAGAGTACCTTTAAAATCAGAATATGGTTGCCTGAAGGCAAGGGTCCTAAGAAGCTGATTAAAATGGCCGCGCATGAACAAAGAAGATGCAACGCAAGTTGAAAAACCAGCAGTCAACTACCCCTGAGATCTAGCAGGAGAATGCAAAGAGGAAGACAACACAGCGAGAGTAAAGAAGTAGGACCTACCAGTGGAACTCTATAACCAATATCATATTTTTTTATTAACAATTTTAGAAATGCTTTAATTGTTTGGGGGTTTTTTTGTTTCTATACTTTGACTGAGTAAAAGAGAAGCACATCAACTAGACAATTTTGCTGACTGCCACTGAGCAAAAAACAAGACAACCGACAACAAAATTCTTATAATATTTCGTTTTTTGAGTTTTACATCCCCACAAGCTGTCATTAGGTTGTTCTGAGGAGGGTTTTGCCATCCAACAGAACAGGAAAAGGCAAATGAGGGCAAGATGGCAAAAATGACATACAGAATATCTCAACAACAAGAAGTTGACAAGCATTTCTCTATCCAACAAGCTGTTGCACCTCCTCCTGGTGTGCGGATGGGCCCTACTTTTTTTTCTTCTATCTTTGCTGTTTCTGTCCTTCTATCCTATTAAAAACTACAACTGGCGTTTGGCTGGTCTTATGATTCCAACCCCCCCCCCCCCCAATCTATTGAAGGGATTTTTTTTTAAAAGTAGGAATTATTTACACCTCCATCAAAGCAATGTAGATCATTTAGGAGACATGCTTCCGACTCTGCCTGTCAGGGCCAATCCTGACTGAGACAGATAAAACATCCCAGCAGAAAGACTGAGATTGTAAAAATGTTCTCCCCGCTACGGAATTGAACTCTCCTGCATGTGACAGCTAAGTGCTTAACCACTACACCACAGACACCGGTCGACTGAGAAGGGAGATGGAAATATACAGAAGCAAGGCTTATCAACAATGCTTTTCTCTCCAGCCAATAAAAAAGGTTTCGATGGCGTCTTAAATTCCCTTCGAGACACAAACTGATAACATCAAAAGGTCAGCCTTGGTCCTATCTTTCATAAGACCTGAGCCTCGTTCAACAGGTCAAAAGGACAGACAGCTAAACAGAAAACATAGTAAATACTACAAATACTAACAATAATATAATGTTATTCTTATGTCAGAATAGTTGGGTGGAGTCACCAGTTTTCAATCCACCAATGGGAGAGTTTTGCCTCACATCAATGACAGAAGAAAGTATAATATATAACACTATAGCTCAATCATAGAAGCTGTGATGACATCACTTTTAGCTCTATCACAACGTACACATGAATCAATAAATAAGATATAACAAAAGCAAGACTGTCAAGAAAAGAAAAAGACATTTCCTATAGATATGTCTGTATGAGTGCACTTTTGTGTGGCAAGCTAATAGAGCAACAATAAAATATTATTACACATATTGCATAACTCAGTGTAACAACAACACACATTGCCTTAACACCATTACAGTTTGTGACAGACATTATTAATAACAGCAGTAAAAAAAATACAGCCTGAAATTAAAATGCACCTATTCTCATTATTCTCCATTATACGGAAACTACCAATGACAAGCTTAGCGTTCGTGACATGTTTTATGAGATAAGCAGCCAGACTTTTTAAAGTGATATAAAAAGTAAGCTCTTCATCCAGTGGACTACCATGGTCTTAAAATAATAATGAGGCGCATCAGCATGAGGAATACAACAGCTGGCTGGCTGACTACCCATCGCGACTGTGAAAAATACGCCAACGGTACGCCAAAGAAATTCTTCAATACAACAGCTGTTTTGCAGAATTCCTTTATTCCACTAAAACACAAAGACATGTATTCCCAGCCCTCATTTGTGACTTTTTGGTTAATTTAAAATTTCATTTTGAAATTTCAAAAAGCCAAGGCAGTAACAAACTTATATAGGTCACACTCAAATCAATTAAGGCATTTCATCCTCTCCCCAACCCCGATTCTCACTGAGTAAACTTTCTCTAAACCTCTTTCTAATACATCTAATCCTCATGAAAATGCTTACACGTAAGTCCGTTTTTTATTAGTATGATCCAAGATATTCAAAATGGTAAATATTTTCTTATGGCTTGCCATTCACATTTATGGCTTAACCTATTTACTGCTTTACACACTGCTGATATCTAACTCCATAGTGAGACGTCCCAGAAGAACAGTAAATCTTTTACTAAAACAGGCAGCGACCATTAAAAAAACAGGTAAATTTCTATTCAAATACATATTAGCATTTGAGCAGGCGACTTTCATCTGCATAAATTTTATCATCAGAATGGCTGACCATCATTGGAATGAATTACTTTCATATTTCTAAAAAGACGTTTGTTTGCAGAAAAAGATGTTGACAAGAAAACTGTCTTGTCTAAACTGAACACATTACTTTCCTTAACCTAAAAAAATTTTTTTTTTTTTAAACAATGACCAAAACAAAAACCCGAGCTCAGACTGATCTTGATTGATCAAGCTAGTGAGGTATACTTGTCATTAGTCACTGTATAAGTTTAACGCCCCTTTCAACATGTAAGGTTATGTAACAGATGGGACCTCTGAATTTAACATCCATCTCCAACTCCAATAGAACTGAGCCAGATATGTGAAGAGCCTTAAAAACTCGACACAAGGACAGAAGATCTTAACCCCTCCATTGAAGATTTGAACCAAAGCCATTCATTCTATAGTCCAGCATGATTTTAACTGAGCTAATGGTGCGCCTCAATTAAGTATACACGCATGTTGAAAACATAACTCTACCTAGAAAGTGGCCACAAGGAAAATTTCCATCAACTAAAAAAGCAATGTAGATTCCTTTCAATCAGAGGTCTTAAATTCATGCCTGAGGGTCAAATAAGGCCCACAAAACAACATTGTGCAGCTCCTACATGATATCAAATTTCTGTATTGTTGTGGCTTGCTCATTTCTCTCACACACACACACTTTTTGACTCACCTGTTGCCTGGATTTTTTAATTTTTTAAAGTATCATTTCTCCACCATGCACTTTAAGTCAAAATACAGTTCCAAACTAACTTGCCTCTTCAAACCATACTGAGGGTCTCACTTGCTTCCTCCCTCAAGCCAAATGTAAGAGGAGGCGCTGCCAGGTTTGTGGCAGCAGAGAGTAGACTTTACCTCCAGTGCAATCATCATATTACAATTTGTATTGTTGAATGGCCTCAAAAAGACAAAAATAGAAGTAAAGTAGCTCCATGAACCTTCCGTTCAGCTGTCGTAATTTATCAAAACAGTCAAATAAAGAAGCTAGTTCAGGAACTTACCGAAGTAGCATAGTAGTATGTGGCCACAGTTCGTTGGTGGTCAAATGGCTGAAAAGAACGAAGGAAAATGGAAATAAATTTAGACATACATAGAGGACATTTGAAATAGAAAAAAGCATATAGGTGTCACGACGCGATGGAATCAAGCGCTCGTCAATTTTTGGACATGTGGAGTTATTGGTATCATTTTAAAGCTTGTTTATTTGTCTTGCTTTCCGTGAAAGAGATACTCATCTATCAGGAATAGAAGAGTTGAGATACTTGCGATTGAAAGAAGTGGGGGTTACCTGGTTTCAAAGGTAAAATTAGCACCCATAGGCCACATTCCCCGAAACTATCACATTTCACTAAGACGCAAACGAATAGAAGGGGCTGTCTTCAAACAGGACCTAGCAAACACTTACTTAAAAAGAAAAAAAAGGGACCTATTGCATACAACTCAATGGATCCTGCCAGGATTTCACTGTAACATGAAAACACACAGAAAGCTGAGCCTCAAACCCCAAAACTCACAATCTCATGACATTGAGTTCAGTAACCTAACCACTTTACTACTGACGCCACAATAGCCAGACACTGGTCCACTTACAGCTACTTGCTTGCGCACTTCCTGCGTCCTGATCTCCTCATCTCCAATGACAATGGGTACGTCAGTGACTCCCTCGTACTTCTTCAGCGCCTCCGCTAGATCCTTGCGCTCCTGGCTGCCAGGGGCAAAATCCAGCATGGGCTCATTGACAGCGGTGTAGGACGCCATGGTTCTCACAGCTCCGCCCAGAAATCTGACAAAGGCACAAGACATTTATTTGTTAGTAACATTTCACAGCCCTAGCTAAACAATTTACATCAGTTAGGTGGATGCTTATTAATTAATGTCTGACACCCATAACAACAACATTTAGACCAGTTAGGGGGTGGGTCACTTTCAGTCTGCCAGCCAGGGCCTACCCAAGTTGTGTTCTTGACAATCTGAGGACTCACATATTTGTTGATGCTTATTAAATGTTTAACAGCCTAATCAACACCATTTAGATCATTTAGCAGCTGGGCTGCTTCCAGTCTGCTAGTTGGCGTCAATCGAGGTCTGCATTCAAGCCCATCAAATTCCAAGCGATTTTTTTTATCTGTACACTGTACAGCCATGACCAAACTCAGAAGAAAAGCACATACAGAAGAAACGGAAGAAAAGCAAACAGGGGAGGGTGCAAACAGAAACAGCAGATGTGAGCAGTTCATCAGCTGTAGAAAGTATACATACCATCTGTTTGCTGATAAATTGCTGACACATACAGCCTTACACAGTGCCGCCACCTAAATGAAGCTGGCTGTAATTTCCATGAGTCAGCACAATAAGGGCTACACTTCACCAGAAACAAAGGATTTCAGTAACAGTTACAATAAGAAGTAAGAATGAAACGCATAGAGCATCCATAAGCCAACTGCTGACAGTAAACAGAATGCCAAAAACATCTGAGAAAAGCAATCACTTTTTCCCCTCAGTGAAGATTGTTTGAACTATTAGCTCTCTTAGTGACCATGAGCCAGGATCCAACATGACAACACATCCTGAAATGTAACACTTGATGTGCAGCATGACAGCAGCAGGAAAACAAAGCAACATCGGAGACAGTTCTAAAATAAAACACATAAATTACTACAACCAACATGACAGAGCTTAACCATATTATAGCCCACTACATTTGCATGGTGAAAAAAATTCCAGTCTCATTATCATAACAGTGCTACAAAGTGAACGATAACAATAACAATTAACTGTACAAACATACAGACTACTAACTTTCTCTTAAAATATCAATAAATTTATTCATCTATTCAACTATATACATTAATTTTATTGTCTGTCTACAACAAAGATTTATTTTTTATTTGCTGCTAAAAGAGAATACTAATTCTATGTAGATTCTATACCTGCATGTGTTTTTACGGTCCTGTACAGCCAAGGAAAATTTCCCTCTGAGATAATAAAGTACTATCTTATCTTATCTTATCTTAATAGCTGAGGAAAGCAAACAATGCCCCTCTTCTTTCATTCCCATCAGCGTACTGAAGAAGCAGGCACTGTTTATTAAATAAGTCCTGGAAGCATTTCATTTAATTTCTGTGACACTCCATGAACATTTCAGTAGAAAAATTCTCGAAATCCAAATTTTTTTTGGTAATATTTGTTGGAATTAAATATAAACATAGATATCTAGTAACAATTTCTGAAACAACAGACAAGAAGCAGTTTTGTTGATGTTTTTTTAATAGAGGCCATCATTGTTATATGTCGTCTATCACATACTTTTTTTTTCAATATATAACCTCAATTTCTGAATTTCTTTTATGACCATGAATAAAATAAAACGCCCAGAAAATTTACATTTTGGAAAACTATTTGCTGCTTAGATTAAAACTTTAGAGACGAAAAACAAAAATAATCAATTGTTGACAAATGAACTCATGTTGTGGATTTATTACACAGTACAGGTAAAACTTGCAACTATCCTGTTGATAAAGTCTGTAGGGTTAACTCCCATTTCAACACTGGTTAGGTTGTTCAAAACGCGGGGACTCCGAATTTAACGTCCATCTCCGACAGGGCCAATCCAAATGAGTGGAGAGCCTTGAAAAAATAGCTCCACAAAATTACCTATCTAGAGTTCAAGAAAGCCCAGTCAGGGATTTGAACAAGGGACATTCGCTCCACAATCCAGCATGATACCAATTGAGCTAACAGGGCACCCTTCTGCTATATTATATCGATTAAAACTTCAATAACTATCAAAGACATGTAGACGAGGGTGGTCGGAGGGTGCTTTGGTCTGGATTGCTTCTTCTTTCCTATCAAACATCTATCGTCCTTATCTCTCTCCTCTTTCTTTTTTTGTGTTTGTTAAATCTCTTGTTCCAGTTCTAATCTTCGGCACTTGTATGACTTATTGTGTTGCAAGTGCCGTAAAACGCTTACTATAATAAGCCAGGTAAAAAAAACGTTTCGACTTCATTACAAAGATAAACCTTCAACAATCCTTGAGAGAGAAATAAATGTTTTGGCTGTATTACATAGATTAAAGCTCCCACAATCCTGAACAGGTAAATAAATGTTTTTGCTATCATATATAGACGAAAGTTTTAACAGTCCTGGACGATACGGTAAACAAATAAGTAATGTTTCAGTTTTATTACACAGATTTAAGCTTCAACAATCCAGGCCAGAGAAATTAATGTTTTGGCGGCTGATCACGACAGTAGCACATGCCTGGTCACGTCCCGTCCTGCGGCTCTCGGCGAGGCTGGAGGGTTGAGTCAGAACGGGACACGCATGGGCTTATGGCTTTTACTGTGTTGACGCTGTGGGACTCTTCATTATGGACAGGTGAGCGTGCAAGACTGCCGGGAGGAGGGGTGTATGATTGTGTGTCTCCGTGTTAGTGTGTGCGAGAGGGGGGAGGGAGGGGGGGGA